TTTGCCAGATTTGGACTCTTTGGTTCAGATTAAGAACCGTGACACAAAATCGAGTCCGAACTGTAGTAGCGAGGCCCCCCACGCGGGCGCGTCTACACGACTATTGTTGAGGAAGTAAAGACAAGGCAGATGGAGGATGAATTCTTCATGAAGGTAGCCGATGAGATTATCACAAAGCCGAGATCAGGGTACATTATAGAAAATCAAGTGCTCAAGTTTGAAGGAAGATTGTGTGCGGCCGACATCCCAGAGTTGAAAAGAAAAATTTTGCAAGCAGCTCATGGTTCCAAGTTTGCTGTTCACCCCGGGAACACCAAGATGTATCAGGATATGAAGCAGACGTTTTGGTGGCCGAACATGAAAGGAGAGATAGCCGAGTTCGTGTCGCAGTGTCTGTATTGTCAACAAGTGAAAGCAGAACATCAAAGGCCAGAAGGACTTCTTCAACCTTTATCGATTCCTAAGTGGAAATGAGAGCACATCTCCATGGACTTTGTTGTTGGTTTGCCGAAGACACAAAAGGGTATGGATTTGATTTGGGTTATTGTGGATAGACTAATTAAGTCAGCACACTTCTTGCCTGTTAAGACCACATTCAACGCCGATAAACTTGCTTTGTTGTATGTGAATGAGATTGTTAGACTTCATGGAGTGTCGATGTCAATTGTGTCGGACCGAGATCCAAAGTTTGTTTCCAGATTTTGGCAGAGCCTACAAAGAGCTTTCGGGGCAGAGTTGAGGCTTAGCACAGCTTTTCATCCCTAGACTGATGGGCAAACAGAGAGGACGATTCAGACACTTGAAGATATGCTTAGACTATGTGTATTGGACCTCCAGGGAAGTTGAGGAGTACATTTACCATTGGTGGAATTTACCTACAACAACAGTTATCAAACTAGCATTGGCATGGCGCCGTATGAAGCGTTGTATGGAAGGAAGTGCAGGTCGCCGATATGTTGGACCGAGGTAGGAGACAAAGCTCTGCTTGGTCCCTAGTTAATTCAAGTAACAACTGAGAAGATTAAGCTCGTCCAGCAAAGAATCAAAACCGCACAGAGTCGACAGAAGAGTTATGCCGACCAGAGAAGAAGAGAGTTGGAATTTGAAGTCGGGGACCATGTGTTCCTAAAGATTTCGCCGATGAAAGGAGTTACAAGATTTGGGAAGAAGGGTAAGTTAGCACCCCGTTATATCGGGCCTTTTGAAGTTCTTGAGAAGGTTAACCTCGCTGTCTACAGACTTGCTTTGCTGCCAGGATTGAGCCAAGTCCATAATGTGTTTCATATTTCGATGTTGAGGAAGTATATTTGAGATCCACTACATGTGATCGACTATTTCGGAATTGCAATTAACGAAGATTTAGGCTACGAAGAGAAGCCGATACGGATTGTCGATAGGCAGGTGAAACAATTGAGAAGTAAGTCGATACCAATGGTGAAAGTTGAATGGAAGGAGCATTACGGTGAGGATGCTACATGGGAAATGGAAGAGGAAATGAAAGTCCGACATCCAGAATTGTTTTCGGAACAAGGTAACTCAAGTTTAGGGACCAAACTTCTTTAAGGGGGGTAGGATGTAACAACCCTCACTTCAACAAAGTCATACTTGCATACATTTATGTATGATCTTGCTTTGTTATGTGCATTTGCAAATCTTGTCTTGTTTTGCTCGAATGTTGCTTGCATGCTTTGTTCTTGCCTGGTGTGTTACCGAGGTTATCTTGAGCCTAGACACCTTGGAACCTTTCCACACTTAGAACTATCTTGGAACCTCTTCGATTGACCTCCATCTTTACCCTGGCATATTGGCCGAGATGTCACAATCTAGGCCGAGGTGCGCGTCGCTTGGGCCGAGATGTGCATCATCTAGGCCGAGATGTTAATATCTAGGCGTTCTAGATCCTTGATCCTTGCATTAGTGATTTTGTTTCTGGAATGGTATGACCTAGACCGAGGTGTGGCACATCTAGGCCAATGTGTGGCACAACTTAGTCAAGTGTTGTCCTTCCAAGCCGATGTCCTTTCCCCTTGATTGCCGGAGTCTCGTTGTTAGCCGATGTCGTTACTTGCCGGTGTGTTCTTGCCGTCTAGCTTGTTGAACACACTTTATCATGGTCTTGTCTTATCAGTCAGTCACCTTTTCGAGTAGAGCCAATCAGCCAATGCCACGTGTCCCAGCAGAGAGTTAAGTCAGTGACTGTCGAGAAAACATATCATTTTGTATCAAATCTTGCTTTTAGAGAGAGAGACTCTAAGAAGAAGGAGGTGAAGCCTTTGGGTAAGAGAGTGAGCTTCCAAGCTTGATCGTTGGAGCTTAAACCGTTAGATTCGAGTTTTGAGGTTAGAATCTTAACCTACTCTTGTTGTTCTTATTGATCATCTAACTGCATTGCACGATCAAACCTGTTCTGCACGTCATACATTGGTTTAAAGTTGGTTTTAGAAAGAGAAAATGGTTGTCATGTGTTCTTGAAGAAAAGCCTCGTTTGATCTGAAAGTTTGCATTATGGCTCATATTTTTGTGTTTGTTTTGATAAGATCCTTGAGTATGGGTACCCAGGTCCATGTTTTTGAATTCATAGTATGAAATCTCAGATTTTGTAATAACAAGTTATAATCTTTGCATTCATCGTCCTCATATTCATGTTCGTCATGTTCTTCAAGAGAGGGAAACCCAAATTTTCCCGACTTCATTTCCTTGAATGTGGCCATCGAGGCCACACCTCGGCAAGGAGGTGTGGGACCTCGGCCTAGACCTGGTAGTTACCCAGCATGTTTTCCAGAGATAAGAAACGGTGTTTTGATTTTGATTTGACTTAGTTTTGTAGAATGCCGAAGTCATTTGCATGCATGCAAGACTTGTTTTGAGAAGTGCATTCAATAGACTTTGCCATGTGTTTGTAGGACTTGGACTTGCCTTGACCCCGACGTTTGCAAAACTATGTGAGTGGTATTTTTAATAAAGTTATGTTATAAAGATTTGATAAAGCCTTGTTTCGTTTTGATAAAAGTATTTGATCAAGCATGAATGATTACTCCTGTTTTTATGAATCAAGTAAGCTTTGTTTTGAAGACATTCTTGGAAAGTCCTTAGTGCCAGGGGACTATAATGCAACTGCACATCTTATTTTGAGGGTCCTTCCGTGCTAAGGGACTTTAAGCCTAGGTAGCACTGTCCTTTCATGCTAGGGGACGTTAAGCCTAAGTAGCACTCTTGTTAAGATATCGGCCACCTACGGACTATGAACGGGTGTGCTCGATGCCGAGGTTATGCTTTTGTTTTGCCCAGAATGTCATCACCCCATGTTTTAAGTTGACGTATGTTAAGTAAGTAAGTAAGTTTTGAAAGATCAAGGTTCGATTGATGTTTTATTTCAAGTCAAGCTAAGCTATGTTATGTATGATTTTGACAAGGATATACTATGTATTGTTTTGAAAAGATCTCGGGTATCATTCATTTAACCCCTTTATTACTTATACCATTCACTGAGTATCCAAGCTCACTCTTCCTATGTATATATGTAGGTAACAAGCAGAAGTCGGCTACGCCGAGATGTGTGTTTTGCATGTATGTTATGTCGGCAGTGAGGATGTCGGCAATCTGGAAAATTATGCTTCTTGACTTGTATTTCATGTATTTTGTTCATGTCGGCTTGAGAAGCCTTTTGTGAAGATGTAATGTGTACTTTACTTCATTTATATTCAAGTTGTAAAGCTTTGTAAAGATGTATGCCATTTCATTTGACTTATGCACTGCTCTTATGGACCACTTGTATTTTAGATTATTGCTTCCGCACTTGTGAGCCCCATATATTTATACTCTGATTGTGTGTGGATTTTGAAAGTTGACCTTCGGTAATCTCGGATTACTGGCCATCACGGCACCAAACTACTAGGGGCGGTTTGGGGTCGTGACATAAAGCTATAAGACTCAGTGTATAATTTTTGAGAATAGATGTGAGTGATTATAGATCAAAGAATATTTTCAGATTTTTTGTAACTTGTTTATATTAGAGGCTTTGGTATATATAATGAAAATTATAACCATTTATAGCCGTTGTATTCATTTGAATTTATAGTCGTTTATAGCCGTTGTAGTCATTTGAATTTATAGTCGTTGTACTTTCATCATTACCAATTTGAATATCTTTCACTCAATCATTACAAATTTGAATATCTTTCACTTGAACTTTTTGAACTTTTATAGCCGTTTATAGCCGTTGTACTTCCATCATTACTAATTTGAATATCTTCCACTTGAATTTTTTAAACCTTTTGGTCTGCTGCTGTGCTAGGCTGTTTGAACATTTGTTTTGGGCTATTTGAACTCTTGACAAAATAAATTTTGATTCTATTTTTCTCTTTCAAATAAATTATCAAAATAAATTTTGATTAAAATATAATTAAATAAATTATCGAAATAAATTTTGAATTCTATTTTCTTTTTTCAATAAATTAAAACATAATTAAATAAATCATCAAAATAAATAAGTCTAACATATAATTTAATTTTAAATGTTATAATAAATATTTTGATAGAATAATTATTCATTTCACTTTCATCCTGACGAATAAAAAACTAATCAATAATAATGATGATTTCATTTATAATTTCATCATTAAGAATATATTCAAGAACATGGTATAATAAATTTGTTTAGGAGAGGTTATAACTATGTGCCAATCCTTTTTGGCACCAATATAATCATATTTGATTCTGAAGAAAAAAATAACAGTCCCAGTCCTTCAAACATAGCTCCACCCTACTCTTTTGGATTTCAAGTAATCCCTTTTGGTCACACATTCCTCCAAATTTCTCAGTTCTATCGCATATAGTTTCTTTTCTACTCCACAAAATAAATAAATAAATAATAATAATGATAATAATAATAATAATAATTTAATGCACAAAACTCCTACTAAAGCGGGATCTAAAGAGGTCAAGATATTATATATGCAACAATACTCCCAATTTTTCGAGAAGCATTTTTTGACTTGAACCCGCATCATTAATGACACTAATGACAAGTCTTACTGTTGAATTAAACTGTCATTTCTAGTTTCTACTCCCCACAGCCTTCAAAATCATATACATTGGTTGACAAAAAAACTCCAAATTGTCGTAAAAAGTGGGCATTCAGAGAGTTGCAACCGTACTAAGCAGTCCAATACATCTGCAAAACTGAGGAATATTTTTATTAAAAGATATCTATTTGATCCATAATTCACTTACCATCCTATATGCACACTGAATCACAGTCGATAGTGCACGCCGCTTGCAAGTAATTCATCTTCAAAAGCTTCACTTGTTGGTTATCCTGGAAGTCTTAGATGTCCATTGTTTCAACAAGAATCAGTCAGTAAGCCAAATTATATACACCATAGGTTCTTGGCTCATCCTTTAAAACAAGCCAATGTATCTATCTCCTCCACCAACTTCGTTTCTTCAAAACAACTGCATTTTTCTCATCAAATTTACTAGAAACAGATTTGCTTTCTTGATTTGAGGCTAACGCCAAAATTTCCAAATTGAGGAAGAGACTGTAAACTTGATTAGGCTACTCCAGGAAACAAATCAAGTGGAATCGGGGTGGAGCCTGTAGCTCAGGGGATTAGAGCATGTGGCTACAAACCATGGTGTTTGGGGTTCAAATCCCTCCTCTCCCACAACTTGCCAAAAAGGGAAGGACCTTTCCCTCTGGGGATAGGAAAATCATGATAGAATTTCAGTATTTTTGAAGTCAATTCCCAAATCCCTAGTTTCTTGGCTCAAGAATTTTAAAACTTGAACAATGTCTTCAAATTGGGGATGAGAACTGTGATGATTGAAAAATGTCGTAATGGCCCCATTTAGTGCAATAAAACTCCAACCAGGGAGTTTTTTAAGGCCAAGAGACCTCATCTGAATCCATGCCTCACTCACACCATCCCATCTGTCCATTGAAGCATAGCCATGTGCCAGTTGCAAGTAGTTTCCGGCATCCGTAGGTTTTGACACGAAAATTTCTCTAGCAATTATGTTCCCAAGTTCCAAATTACCACTCGTCCGACAAGCATCAAGAAGTATGCCTAAAACATCTATAGTTGGTGCTGGAAACATCCTCTTGTAAAATTCATATGCATATTCTACTCTTCCTGCTCGACTTAAGAGGTCGACAACGCAAGCAAGGTGTTCAAGTTTTGGTTCAACCCTAAATTCATTTTTCATAGAGTAGAAAACATTCAAACCCTCGTTGACAAGCCCATTATGACTACAGGCAGATAGAACTGATAGAAAAATGACATGGTTTGGCTCAAGGCCGATAAGGAGAAACTTCTTGTACATTTCCAAAGCAATCTCTCCTTTACCATGACTACCGTATCCAGCAATGATCGTGCTCCATGAGACCAGATCATGCTGTGATATCCTATCAAAACACTTCATAGCGGTGTCTAAGTCACCGCATTTGCAGTACATATCTACCAAAGCTGTGTCGATCAAGATGCATGGTCCAAGGCAGCTCCTAATGACAAAATTATGGACCCATTTTCCTTGATGGAGAGCCCCGATCGAGGCACACGCTTGGAGAAGGGAGACGACAGTTATTGAATCAGGTTTTTGAAGAGTTGTTCTCATTTCATTAAATAAATATAAGGACTCGCATAAATTGCCATTTTGTGCATACCCAGCAACAATGGCATTCCAAGAAACCACATCTCTTTTCTCCATTGTATTGAAAAGAAAACGACTTTGTTCCATGTGATTACACTTTACATACATGGTTACAAGAGAGTTTTCAGCAGTAATGTCTAGTGGCATCCTATGCCGTAACATGTAGGCATGAATTGAAGCTCCAAGGCTTAAGGAACCTAGCTTGCCACAAGCTGCAAGGGCACTAGCTATCGTGGCAGTAGATGGCAAAACATTCAAAACTAACATCGATCGGAACAACATCAGGGCCTTGTCTGCGAATTCATTCTGTACAAGCCCTGACATCATTGCCGTCCATAAGATCACATCCTTATCTGATGTTCGTTCAAATATCCTAAAAGCATTGTCAAAATTTCCACATTTTAAATACATAACAATAAGTGATGTTTCAACATGTGCATCCGATTCAATTCCTGAAGTTAATATCTTAGCGTGCACCAATCGTCCCATTTCAAGATCGCTCTGCCTCGCTGTAGCAGACACCAACGACCCAAATGTCTGTTGATCAGGTTCCAAACCTTCAATCCTCATTCGACTCAATAGATGAAATATTTCTCTAATATTCCCAACCAAGGCGTAATTTGAAACCAACGAGTTCCACGAAACTACATCTCTTGTCTCCATCGATTCAAACAAGTCCCTAGCATCCTCAACTCTTCCACATTTACCATACACATTTAACATAGAATTCACCAAAGCTAAATCAGACTCAAACCCATATTGAATTGTACAAGCATGAACATATTGCACATGGGTGACATCAAAAACTCCAGAGAGCAAGCTCAACACAGTAACTGAACTGGGTTGAATTCCTTCGCGTCGCATCTGATTAAACATACAAACTGCTGTTTTGACGTCACCCGATCTTGAATAACAGCCGATGATAGCAGTCCAAGGAACCAGGTTTCTCTCAGGCATTTTGTCGAACACTTGGCGGGCATGGTTGGTGAACCCAAATTTGGAATAGAAGTTTATCAAAGAAGAGCCAATGTAAGCGATCGGAAGGAGAACCCATTGACGATGATGTGTTGGTGGAATGAAAGGCCATGGGAGAGTACGGATAGAGAAGTGCAGGCTTTGAGAAGGCTAGGGAAGGTGTAGGCGTCCGGTGGAGTGTTGGTTTTGAGCATGAAGGTGTAGGTGAGAAGGACGTCATTGTGTGCACTTGAAGATGAGAGACGATTGATTTCAGCATTGAATGACTTGGTTGTGACGGTGGCGAAATTGGGTGGTGGTGGTGGTTTTGGAGGGTAGAAGTGAGGTTTGAACTTGTTCATAGCTCATAGTCACTTTCTCCTTTTGAAATAAAGAGGACTCAACGGTTGGATATTATAGCCAAGTTTTGCAAGTTATTTTAAGATTTAGGTCTCTTTTGAAAACACGTTAATTTAATAATTTTTTAATTATTTGGTTAAAATATAAGTTAAAAAAATTAGTATATTTAGAATGATTTTTTGATTTTTTACGAAAAGATGCATAAAAAGTAGAGAGAAAAGAGAATCTTTGACTTTTTAGTATAGATTGTTAGCTTTTTGACTTTTTTAATAACTTTTTAACTTTTTGACTAAATGTGAGGTTCTCAAACGGGGCCTAAGCTTTCAGCCCCCCTTTGTTTTCAGTGACAGAATGCAAGAAATTAATAATGAGGGGATTGTTAGTAAGAGAATTGATAGTGAGGGGATTAAGTCAAATTGTGTTTGTTTTGATGATAGTTGTTAGTGTAAGGATTGTTAAATTATTTTTATATAAAACAAATAAAAAAATACAAAAACATTAAACATTAATGTTTTAAAAAAAATACCCAACATGTAAAAAATTTTAAAAAAATAAAAATAAAATAAAAAATTTCCAAAAAAAAATAAAACAAATAAAATAATGATTTTTACTTAACAAAAAATAAAATATATTAAATATTAATGTTCAAAAAAAAATGCCCGATATGTAAAAAATAAAATAAAAAATAAATAAAAATAAATTTTTTTTAGTTCGTCGGACTATTTTTCTAATATCAAGTCCTGGAGGCCCATCTGAATCCCCTTGGGAAGGTCCATCCTAATCCAGAGCTCACTATTAATCCTCTCCCCATCTCTCAAAACAAACAAAATATTAGTGAATCTCACATCACTATCAATCCCAATCTCCCTTTTAATTCTCCAAACAAACGGGGCCTCAGTTTGATCCTTGATGGATCTGTTAAGGGTCTGTTTGGATAAAATATTTGAATAATAAAAAAAAAAAAAAGGTGTTACTAATGATAGAATTGAGGGCTCTGTAAAAAAAATAAGCATTACACAATATTAAAATATTTATAATTTCAATACATTTTTAACATATTAAAAAATACTTTTACAGATTTTAATATACTTTTTACACATTTTTCTAATACCATGATAGCCCGTGAGGCTATCTTAGAATTTTCCTATATATAAAAAAGAGTAAACTACACTGACACCCTTGAAGTTTCTATTTAGTATATCTCTCTCTCTCACATTTGGAAAACTACACTTACTTTCTATCAAATTAAAATGACATATTTATCTCTTAGTCTTTATACATATAAAATAATAAAATAATGTAGAGATTTTGTTCACATCATTTCAAGAAAAATAATAATCTTCTTCTTTAGTTTAACTCACACAAAAAATTGAGTATTTTATTCTTTCATTTTTATTTTTTTCAATTTTTTTTTTATTTTTAATGAATTTTTAAAAATATTTTAAACAATTTTTAAATATTTTTTTAGATACACACTAGATATTAACAAGTATAATATTTTGTGATTTTTATTTTAGATTCACCAAATACAAAAAAACTAAATAAATAAATAAAAAAAATATACAAAAATTCAATACATTATCTTATTTTGTTATATTCAATGATTTTTTAAAAAAATTTGTACAAATTTTATACTTTTTAAATATATCTAGATTAAATTGACCTAATCTAGATATAATGATGGAAATAAAAATGAAAAATTATATTCATATATAAAAATTTATACAAAAAATATCATAAAAATGTTGCGATAGTGATATTATTATAAATATAAATACACCATAAAAATCAAAAGTATTCAAGATCACCTGGATTAAAACTCGTTTGTGATTAATTTGAAAGATAAGTAAATAAAAAATAAACATATTTTAAAACTCATTAATTTTTCAAGTGATACATAACTTAGGTACATGTTTTATAATTCTAAAGTGAAAAACAATAAGAAACCCAAAGAAAAGAACGGATGCTTCTTGGCTTGGAAAGAGGCCTCGAATTTGAACTTTTTCTTGAGTGCCGATTTATGGGACTTTTTTTTAGCTTATCACCAGAAAAGATAAAAGAACTACCAACAAATGGAAGATAAACTTGTATGACTGTATTTCCATGAACTCTTTTGCATCAAAGAGGACAGTTGGGTTAATTTTCTGACAGCCCCAAAACATCAGATGAAGTAATAGTTTTGCAGCAAATCATCAATTTTCATGAGTTTGCTTCATGCAATTGGCCATATTTAGAAATAGGCAAAACTTATCTAATACCAAATGTGTTACTGAGAAACTGAGTTTGACGTCCTTCAGATGTTCATAACAAACAATCCAGTACAATGGAACAATCTCAACCATATCATGGAACATATTAGAACAAAACTCTACATACAACTGGATTATCAATCTCTCTGAATGTATCAAGATTCCAGATCAGCATAATCCTTTTCTCTTTGCAATAAGTGATTTAACTATTTAGGAGCCACAGCATAACAACAGTGCGAATAATAAGTACCCAGAGTCTACAAACCCCTCTGTATAGCTCAGGCTATTGGTGTATATCCAGACAAGTTAATAGTATAATATCCTTTAAAATCAATCTAGATGTTGAGATATGGAAAAAAAATCAATGGAGATCCCACCATTGAACAGCATAATTGGGAGTGAGCTCTGCCATGATAACTGCAACTTAAATTTTACGCCAACACGGGCTTGGCTCTTGCAGCAACGAAGTTTAAATTGCTAGTTTGATTGTTTTTTCGGATACTCCCTCGCTCCAAATATTGTAGATCCAATTCTCACATTGGTACTTCCCATTTCAACCTGCATCAATCACCGAGTCTGTTCATTAGTTTTATACTCTGCTACAGCTTTACTTGAAACTGGTACTTCTATATTGTATAGGTAGGTATCAGTAGATTATAAGCAAGGTACAGTTGATGAAGCTATAAATATTTCACATAGCTAGTGGTTTTAATGGATATTATCAGAAATCCCACAACCTCAAGAATAATAGGCAGAATTTTAAATTAATTATTCTCTTTCATTCTTATTACAAGTACTTTCTTCTTTCTTTTACTTCATCCCCTTATTGCTTCTAAAATCTAGACTATTTATTTTTATTTCTTTTCCCTTCTTACAATGGTAAGCTCCACTCCCCAACCTACCAATGTAAGCTACTATATTGTTTTATAATATTTTCTAACTGTTGTTAAACCTCATTCTTAACTTTATTAGAAAGACCTATTAAAAAAAATTGTCTTGACTTCAAATTATTAATTTTTGATTTGTATGGACATGTACCATCAGATTGTACACGAATATGGATGAGTACAACTTAGACATGTTTAATTATTCAATTATTAGCTTATGTACATTTCAATAGTATAGTTTATACTTCATCTTCTTGAAGTCTAGACTACAAAAGCTTTGTTGAGTATTGTCTCGTTTTGTGAATACAAATACTCCTTCCCTTGTTCAAAACTTGTTTTCAAACATTTTGTGTGTTTCATCGTGTTTACTTAACCACAAGTAGTTTGCATCATGCCATTTAATAGATTAAGTTTTGTGAGACCCTGACAATAAAATTCATAATTATCCTTTTCTTTCCTTTCTTGTTTTTGGCAAATAAATTTATCAAAAAAATGGAAAATTTCTCAAGTAAAGTGGAGTTCCAAGCGAGCACCCAGAATTCACTTACAGCCAACTCAAAGTCGCCAGACATTCCCATTGATAGCTCACACTGCTCTTCTGCTATTCCAAGTGCTTTGCAAACTTCACTTCTACAATTCTCTAATGTCTGACACCAACCCACCAACCGTATCAGGAAACAATAGAAACGTGAGAAACCAAAGAAAAATGAAAGAAGCAAGCATAGAAGCAACAGATATGTGTGGAACCACCACCTTAAAGTTCTCTGGTGTTGAAGTATAATCTGGCATCCCTATTGTCATCAGGCCACAAAATTCAAGGTTTGGGCAGGCCAAACTAACATGCTTCACAAGTTCCACGCACCCAGATGGATCGACTCCTGATTTCGCTGCAACAAGTTAAAAAAAATCAAAATGCTTCATTTCTTGTTTAATGGGTTAGTAGTCAGACAAAACTACTAAGTTTAAACCTGTTAAAATACATCACTCACTCACATTCTTCTCCACTGGTGTTTACTTGGACAAAGACTTTCAAAGGATTTCTTCCTATGTTTGCCACCACACGGTTAAGTTGATTTGCAATCTACAAAAACACAAAGCAAAAGGAAAAAATTTAAACAATCACTTATGAAATCAGAAGGCTGAAGAGATAATAGTAATCCACTTAAACCACCTTTTCAGCAAGTTCATCTTTTACATTCATCATTTTCAGCAAGTTCATCTTTAACATTCTAAAAGCAAAATAATCTATGGAACAGAAATACTTTGCTCTCACTTGAGAACTCACAATAACAACTTTTAATAACTGATGATGGAGTCAGTGTTCACCTTCTCATCATCTACAGTCTCCACCACTGCTAGGTTTGGTACACCAGCTGTACAATGAAATAAGGAATAAATACATATCCTCTTTCAATCAGAAAAATAATATGAGATAGAATTAGAATTCATAGATAACAAACATGCACGCTGAAAAGAAATGAAAAACAGTACAGTAATTAGCTGAAACATGCAGAATATCAAAAGACTTAATGACAGCCTTTAAATTTGTAGATAACACAATATGCAGACACTTGTCAATCATACAACTAAAGCTCCATGCCATGCTCCACACATACATCGTATCTTACAAAGGCAGTGTTGTTGAGAAGGCAATGGTATCAGATGATGGATAACACAAACAAACCATAGGCTATTATTATTTCAATTGGTACACCACATAGAGGTCATGTCTTGGCGAGATGTCAAGTGCTATTTGACTTAGCACTGCGGCAAGGGTTCAAGTCACAAGAACCAACCTCACCACAAACAAAGTGGAGGTACAGTTGCCTACCTACTATCTCTCTAAGATCTTGCAACTTCACTCTTTCTTCACTTAAATATACTCACAATTTTTTTGTTTTGTTTTGTTTTTTCCTCCCTACCCTTAAAGTAAACTCATAATATTGGTATAAATTTTCATTTCTAATTTAAATCATCCGAGTACAGTCCAAAAAAAATCGACGCAAACACCTTCCTTGAGTCGAATGGGGAGTCTGGGTCATCACAACTGCCTTCCACTCGGTTAGAAGGTCATAAAATCCATTGTCTTAAAAAAAAAGTACACCATTTTTAACAGCCCATCAAATATTTACTAATTACGACAACAAAAATGATTGATCCACCGAATTTGAGCTCGCTCGAATTGCCTTCCTGAATGACAGCCCAGACGACCGGCGTCATCTTTGTCAAGCGGATGTCACTCTTATCTACCGCTGTCAACCTTGTCAACTTGATGCGTCAACCAACATCCGTCTGGATGACCAGCCGGATGACTGTCTGACCAGACAATTGGTATGCACAAATTAGGGCAATTCAGACGAGCCCAAATTCATTGGATGTAGCAATGCTCTTCCGAAATTACCCAAAAAACTGGTCTTATATAAAAACTATAGTCTAAAATTTATTTTCACCGAGCGTTCAGAAGTCGTGATTTAAAATTCCCTGACATATGAAAAAAATACACGAGAAGCCAGAAATATCAGTCAACAGATGCTTCACATATTATTGTAATTCCTAGCTCTTTTCAATAAATTTCATTAGCCAATTCAGATGCTCACACAATTACCAAGGTTCCAACTTTGCCCTCAATATATCTATGAATTAAAGAGATATACAGAGATTAAACATACCCAGGAGAGGCTTCACTTTGTTACTTTGCAAATTCCCAATGAAATGCCACTCAATATCATCAGGAAGCTGCATTTATTGAAAAATTACACGACAATTCAATTCACACTTCTTTGCCATTCACTTCCCTCATTTTTTTCTAATCAACCAAACAGAGAACACTGATTCGAGAGAAGACGAAAACCTGAGGAGCTTTCTCGATGATCTCCTGAACGTAGTTCTCGCCGAAGCAGCGGTGGCCGGAATCGTAGACTTCGCGGATGAGAGAGACGGACTTGGTTTTACTGACGGCGACGACTCTGATCCGATCGGAGGATCGGCCGGACCTCACGGCGGCCTGCTGGACGCGGTGGAGGACTAACCGGAGAGCCGCCGCTGCGACGCCGTCCATGGCGGAAGCCGCCATCGGAGACTGCTGCTGTTGCCGGTGGTGGTGTTCCGGTGCTGCCTCGTCTTCTATCCCTTTCTCTATCTTCGCTTCCTGATCGTTCATCACAGTGTTTTGGGTAGGCAAAATTTGTGACTACATATATATATATGGAAAAAGGGCCAATATGCAAAATTTAAATTTTTATAGGGGTAAAAATGTGAATAGAGAGAGAAGTATTGTGTGGAATGAAATTTCAGAAGATTTATGGGCAGAATTCTGAATAAAAAACAATCTTGAAATCAAGTGGTTGTTTGGATGTCTTAAATAAGTGTATTTTTTTGACCTTTTAGATTAAAAAGTAGAGGGAAAAAATATGGTTGTTTAAAATAACTTTTTAATTTTTTACGAAAAAATGTGTATTAAAATATTATATATAATAACAAAATTACTATTTTATCCCTAAATATATAATTGCCTACTGATAGTGATGGTATACATACGGTTGGCCGCAAGATGTATAGGACCAGATTGCCTACGGTGCTGTTCGGACTAGATGGCACTGTTTGGCCTATAGGGCCCACCACGTGTCCCGTTTTGATAATCGAAACCATTCAATGTGTAAAACTCGTCGAGTACTATATTTTTGTAAAAAATCACATTGATCGGATATCAATAGCTATCTGATCGGATTAGTTTTTTGTAAACCGTAACTTTGTTTATCGTCGACCTTTTTTTTTTTTATACAAAACTGATTTGATCATATAGTTATCGATATCCAATAAACGTGATTTTTTACAAATATATAGTACTCGACGAGTTCTACACATTGAACGATTCAGATTATCAAAACGAAACCGTTGATGGACTCCCATAGGCCGAACATCACCGTCTTATGTAAATTTTGTGTGCACCCGCTTGACAAGTTCATACCATCACTTCATATCAAAACATCACTTTAGCCAAAAAGTTGGCTTGTACTTTTTTTGGGGAAATTCGTTTTTTGTTTTTTTTATGTATTTTTTTTTGTAAATAGTGATAACTTTTCGACTTTTTTTAATAACTTTTTTACTTTTTTTAAACATGCCAAACTAGCCCCAAGTCATAAGTTGCCGTTTGGCATTTTTTTTTTAATTGGCTTTTTGGAGTTACTTTTTTAGTTTGAGACTCAAAAGTTCATTTGGCAGAACTTTTTTAACTTTTGTGAGAAAAAAATGAAATAATTATGATTTGAATATAACATTTTGCCTTATTAACTTTTTAACTTAATTTTCTTTTACTGATTAATTTAGTCCAAACCCAATCCAACCCACATAGCCAAACGAAGCCTTAAGAATGGTTTGTTGGCCATAAGAGAAATTGTTAAAGATTTGAGAATTAATTTAGAAAAATTACAATTCAGTAAATTTTGTAAAAAATAATTATAGATTCATGGAGAAATGTATGAGTTTAATCATTAATATTTATAAAGTTTATCGTTGATTTGTAATTTTTTTTTCAAAACAACACTAATTTGATATTTCCCTAATCAAATTAAAATAGCAAAACATTTTGGTCTATTGTGAAATGTATAAAGTTTTGGGGTATAATAAAAATAAAGTAAACTACGGTGTTCATCCACAAGTTTCTTAAGAAAAAGTCTGAAAATACAATTTGGTCTATTGTGAAAAACATTTTTTTTCTATCTTTTTGATGATGGACACATAAATACAATTCTATTTAATATTTTATAAATATAAGAAAAAAAAAACATTTGTATTGCTATAATAGAATGGTCAAATTATTATATTTTGATACTATAACATGTCAAAATTTGGCATGAACATTACTTTTGACATCAATATATTTATAACTCAAAGAATGACATTGTAATGGAGGCCTTTTGAGCATAGGCTTAAAAAAAATAAAATAACTAAATAAATAAATAAATTGAGTACTTCTATTCAACACCATTGATTTGTGAACTATGAACTTAATCCACTTGAAAAGTTCCAAAGCTAGGGCAATTGAAGCCAAAATTGCAAGGATTACAATGTAAGTCCATTTCCATCTGTATTTTGGACTCTGATTATCAATCCCTCGAATTATATTTGCTATGATCATAGCAATCAATGCATAGCCTAAAAGATGATGCCATGCCTTCCAGTATTTGTGACATTCATGTTCTTCTTTTGGTTTCAAACAAATGCTCACACCTGAAGGACATTATATATGATATTATGACGTATTTCACGTATCCAATACACATGTAGTTGTACCAGTATGCATACTCACACTGAATATGACATAATTTTTGGATTACTCATTGTGGGTATTTGTATCGAGCCCAATACGCGGCAAGCTTGACGGGTGCCTCATCACCAAAACCTTACCCACGTGGCAGACCAATAAGACACCACGTGGGCATGTCATATGTTTGATACATAGCGAGCCCTACGGGCGCCATGTGCTAAGGCACCATGCAAAACCAAGACTATATGCTTAGCCTAAGCGGAAGCATACATAAAGCCCAAATATATCTAAATATGAAGAGCCCTACAATAGGCAGCACCATGGCTTTACAAGGCCCACAGTCCTTCATATCTCGCTCAAAGACCAAACAACAATATAATCAGCCCTCGGTTCACTTGGACTTGGATTGACAAACGTTGGTTCTCCTAAACATTGAGATAGGCCTGCGGCCTATTCTCCTACTTGGTCGCTTGGAAGTGAGCCCCTGGCTCTCCTAAACACTAAGGTGGGCCCTGGCCCATTCACCTACTTGGATGCCTGGGTTGGGAGCAAGACCTAGGCACGACTGCTCGGGATCATCAGAGGATATTGGATTGGCAGTTGAGGTCATGGGATCGTCGAGATGGTTGTCTTCTTACTAAGACAACTCCATCTCGACTAGGCTTGGAAAAGAGAGAACAATGATCTTACATTTATGTTATCCGATGCATATACGAAACGTTACTTTCCGCCTGCCATGAAACATTGCTCTCCGCCTGCCGTCAAGCCACAGAGGGTAGAAGGGCTTATATCACTTCTGGCAGAATTGAGGAGAACGAGCCACCTGTCCAACAGTTTGCTTGGGCTGCAATACTCTTGTGGCCTATATAACGTATCATATATGTAGCAAGACACCACGACAACACAACTCTATAATTCTAACACACTAAATCCCACACTTAAACATCCCCTTTCACACTCTACATCAGTGTTCAAGGTCCATCATTGCCAACCTCTCCCTCTCCAAGCTTGCCTTGATCTCTTCGTCTCTACCTCCGGTGATCTCAGGCCATTGAAGTGCCCGCTATCTTCCTAGATTACCTTTGACCACACCTCTCACCTATATTATACTCTGCTGGGGAAGAGTGGTGCTCACTTCACATGGCACCAAAAAAGAACACTGGAACTGGAGCAGCGACATCCCAAGGTGGTGGTAGGGAGACTTTGGCGGAGACCTCGGAACACAACTCCGGCGACTTTTCGGAAGAACAGTCCTCTCAACCGGCCATAGCAGCTCAGCTATGTATATTGACTGAAAGCATCACCTCTTTTCAAATGAACTAGCAACTCTTAATAGATGACCTACTAGCCTTACAAAGGGCACCTATACTTTCATCATCATCTAACCCCCTTTCATCATCACAAAATGGCACTCCGCCGTTAGTCTAGAATGGCTCAGAAGCCAACCTCGCTTCACAAAACAAATTGCAAACCCAAGTGGGAGGACAAACAGTCGCCCTGCTCCCTTCATTAGCTCCCAGCCAAATACCTCCACCACAAGTCGGATCCATTAGCGGAGCTCCTACCGCAGTGGCTTCGACTGGCTCTCCAACTCTTCCGCCGGATTAGACCCCTTCCCAGCCATTAACACTGGATATAGTAAAAGAGCACATACACAGCCTACTTCAGACGAACAAAGGTCATATCCTTGTCTCTCCAGAATTGGACCTCCATCCCCCTTACCCTATTTACATTGCAAGTCTCCCATATCCGGTAGGATACACAGTACCCAAGTTTGTCCGTTTCGACAGACGAAAAGGGAATGCCAGGGAGCATGTTTCACACTTTGTTGATGCTCTTGGAGCTCACCGAGAAGACCGAAACCTCCGCATGAGAGAATTTTCCAAATCCCTCATAGATCGAGCATTCTCGTGGTATGCCAACCTTGCCACTGGCTTTATCTCTTCATGGGAGGACTTGGTAAAAATGTTTTATATCTATAACCAATTTGTGTTGTCTTCTTTGTTGTATTGTTCGACTCCCGCTTTGAAAAATATTTTTTCTTCTCATCTCTTCAAACAAAATCTGCAAATTTCTTTAGAAATTTGCAAAATATGACCGTACAAATGTGTCTAGAATGCTCCAAATAGCTGAAAATGACTATTGGATTATCAAAATCTGACTTAAAATGGCTTAGATCTAGTGAACACAATTTGGCTAGTTCAGATCAACGGTTTCACCTCAACCGTGTCACATCGAAAAATAAGAAAGAGAGAGAGAGAGATTTGTAATAAATGCTCTGATACCTTTGTTGGCAGTGGTAAGCTCTGATGCCATTGCTAGGAAATTATGGCAATTTTCTTTATAAACTTTGATACCACTATTGGAAGTGAGAAAGAGGCGTATAGTGGTTGTGATAGTATACAAAGAGATGAATTAATTGAACAAACACTTCTTTTATTCAATCACAAAAAAAAATTATATAAAACAAAAGTATCTCTCTGTAAACTCTCAAATTCTCTCAACTCTCTTAGAATTCTCCTTATCTAGAGATATTATATTTTTCCCTGGAGATTACATTTTTCTTCCACTCTCTCTAAAACAATCTCGCAACTCTTTATTTATAGACTCGACAATCGTGTATAGACCATGTATAATCAGTGTGCTACAATGTTTTTTTAAGCCAAGTTTCTTCAACGAAGCTTCCATGAAGATTTTTTCTTATTCTTCTTTTTGACTTATTCTTCTTCTCTTTGGAACTTTGTAGCAGTCTCTTGCTTGTTCTTATCTTCTCTAGAATTCTCCTTTACTAAACTCAAATGTAGTTTGTCTTTCAAACACGTGTTCCACAATTCTTTTCAAAAATCTGATATCATTATTTAAGCCCTGGTCCAACCATGAAACATAATTTTACTTGCTCCCAGTTAGCGATTATCACTCCCT